CCAGCGTAAGCCCAGCTTGGGCTGGACCTGCCGTGGCTCTGCCAGCACGGATGTGGCCTTGGAGAGGTGGCCTCGCACAGCTGCTTCAGGCTGGAAGGGCCAAGTTTGAGGTGGCAGGATGGATTTGGAGATGGGCTGGGATGTGGGAAACGGAAGCTCCTGTTTCCCTGCATTTCCAGCGAGCTTTTGGGGAGATATCTCCTACGGTGTTGGGGGCTGGAAAACCCACCCCATCTCTTGGTCATCGTATAGCTGCGGGTGACTGAACGTTTCCAGCGTGGGATTCCTCACCGCACTGCTAACAAAGCCAAATCTGCGCCATCCGATGCGGCAGAAATCTCCGTGGTTGGGTTGGGTGGTAGCACGCCGGCGAACACCCAGCCGCTCGCCTGGCCGCCGCTTGCCTCCCGTACCGCCATGGCACGGGGACACGGTGTTTTCCCACTGCTATCAAACAGTAATCCCACTCTGCGGGTCCGTCTGCTGGGTTTTTTTCTGCACTGCAGGTCGCTTTTGTGTTTTGTGGGCCAGGAGAGGCCAGGTGTTGAGCCAAATTTTTTTTTTTCCAGTTTATTTACAATATGCAGAAGCTGTATCAGCAGCTGGTGCCAATGAACAATCCTTCTGGTACCTTTTGCTCTCAAATTAAACACCTGAGATTAAAGCGTGAGCCTTAAGTAGGAGCTAGTCTTTAATTCCAGAGCTAAATCATGCCTTGCGACATCTTGTGTTACTCGGAAGATGATGCAATAACTCACCCTTTGCCTAATACTATTGCTCAAATGGCAAGGTCCCTCAGCCTGGCTGTAGAAGAGCTAAAATATCTGGTTTTGCCTCCTTTTCGGTTTGTTTAGATAGCTGGGAAAAAACAAAGCCTGGGAGAGCACGTGTAGGCTCAGTGCAGGCTTTTTGGAGGTGATTAGCCCAAAAGGGCTTTCTTGGAAGATTGCTCAGAAAAGTGGTACTGCAAATTCCTGGCTAATTTGCCTAATCTTTGATTTCTGAAGAGTCCAATTCTGGTCCAAACCAAGTCATCGCCCTTGGGAGGAGCCTCTTTTCTCCTCTCTTGACTGGAGACTGGTTCATCCCATGCTCAGACTGATTTCCTCTGGAAGTGCCGGTCCTGCAGTGGGAACCCAGCTGACCTGGGAGCTGCTGGAGAGCTTGAGTCTGAGCTGAGCCTCCCTCCTCGTTCTTTATTGCTGAGGTATGAGATGCAGAAAGCATGTGGAGGTCAGGCAGGCGTCCTTCCTCCCGTCTTGGGGGATTGTGTGGAAGGGAGACATTCTGTTGTGTTCAGGGGATGGAGCCTTACGGAGTTTGACGTTTGGGAAATAATAGTATTATAGAGTTCTCTTTAAATCTTCACTTCTTTACGGTCTTTTAATCTGTCACTAGACACCTCTTGGGAGCTGGGTAGCTGGGTAGAGAACTTTCAGGAGAATATAGTTTCTTGGCTGAACTCTCCAGAAGATAAATCCTCTCCCTCGTTCAGGGTGGGCTAGGGTCTTGATGGAAATCACCATCCAAAAGACCTCTCTGCTTTAGACTCTTGAACCTCTTTGGACTTTTAATCCTAAAACCACAAAATAATTGAGGTTGGAAGGACCCTCCAGAGGTCTTCAACCCACCCCTGTGCTCAAAGCACAGCCAACTTCAAAGTTAGGTTGCTGCAGGCCCCTCAGGTTGAGTTTTGAGCATCTCCAGGGATCCCCCACTCTCACAAGGATGAGCTTCCCAAGTTGTGACTTCCTTGTCCTCTCGTTGCACGTGTCCAGGAGGAGTTCTGGCTTCATCTTCTCTACACACTCCAGTTAGTGGCTGTAGGTAGCACCTTCATGTTCTCATCTTGAAGCAGAACAAGCCCAACTCCCCCAGCCTGTCTTTATCCATCACATCCTCCTCTAGTCCCCGATGGTTGACGACCTTCACTGGGCTCATTCCATTGGATGTTGGATCTATCCATGTCTCTCCTGACGCAGCAAAGCAACCTTGCTAAATATCACAGCTACCATTTGGTGTGTCGTTAGTCTTAAAAATATGCATTGAGTAGCTCCGCTATAACCTGGTCCCTTTGTGTAGGAGACATCTGCCATACGAAGAGTGGTGATGTGGAAAAGCACCTCAAGGTGCATCCTGGTTTTTTTTGGGGTGGTGATAGAGGTCTAGGCAAAACTTTTGCACCTCCATATGCTACCGAACCTCTCGAGCATGCCGTTAACCTCTGCTTATCAACCCTGACTGTCGCCTTGATGAGCCAGGGCTCTTTCAGGTCTTCTGGAGATGTTGGTATTTCTCAATCCGTGACCTTTGAAATATGTTATGTAAGTAACCATCGCCAAATTTGTCTAGAGTTGGGTCCGCCGTGTCTAGGAGAGTTCCTGGTCTCTGCGTAACTGCTCCTGTACTGGGAAACTCACGGGTTTTTCCTTATCTCTGGCTTTTTTGAAAGTGTCTTGATGTCCTGGCCGGGTTGCTTTAACTCTTGGGATAGAGGCAAAACGGAGAGGAGAGACCCCAAGGGTGTTTGACCTCTTGGAGGAGAGTCCGTGAGCGCAAAAATGAATTCAGATTCACCGTGCTCTCTTGGGAGAAGCTGCAGCCACGCTCCTGTGGTTAGAGGAGCAGCTCTTGCTGGATTACCATAGAGGGTAAATTTGAGCCTCCTAAGTCCAAGACATTAAACTCCCTCATCTCTTGCTGTTTCCAAGAAACCAGGATTTGCAGGGAGTGCAGTTACGTGCTCATCAGGAGAGAGATAAATCACCGCATGTTTTCCTCTAAAGGAGACAGTTTCTAAAAATAGGAGCCGTGCTGGAGCTCTGGAGAACAAAAGAGTCCCTGGAAGGCTCCTGCCACCGTCCTTTCTCGGCAGTCGGTGCTCTCTGCCCCTCTCCATCCGCGCGCTGGGGATTTATGGAGGTACTTAAAATCTGCTGATTTGGGAGGGTTGAGTTTTTTT